CTTTTCTGCCAGGCAGCTTTCCAGATGAGAGCTGGGGAGGGATGGCAGGGGGAGGAAGAGACCCCCTCCCAGCACCCTGCCAGCCCAGGGGAGGGGATGTACCTGACACTTACATGGCACTCAACCGCTGTGGCCATGTTCTTGCACCAGTAGTGTGGACCCCAGACACAGGGGTCCGAGCCCAGAAGATCCTCCTCAGGTGAGTCACAAGCTCTTATTTTCTGCATTGCGAAGGAAAAGGGTGGGAGGAGAGAGGAAAAAAAGAAACAAAAAAAGCCAACATGAGCACCCCAGGACCCTATTGCCATCTTGGTCCCTCAATGGAGCACCCACGGCACACGGGCACTTACGGTGCAGACGGCATTGCGAAGGAAAAGGGTGGGAGGAGTGAGGAAAAAAAAGAAACAAAAGAAGCCAACATGAGCACCCCAAGACCCTATTGCCATCTCGGTCCCCTAATGGAGCACCCACGGCACACAGGCACTTACGGTGCAGACAAAGTTGGGGTCCATCATCTGTACAAGGAGCCGCATGGCCGCCGGCTCGTACTGCACCACGAGAGCCTCGCACTGGCAAGGAGAAAGGGGGTGAGCCAAGTGGGAGTGTGCTGGGGATCCCCACTGGTTCGGGTGCTCCCCTCTGGGCTCACCTTGCCCGTGAGCGGCGGGGGCAGCAGCTCGCAGCCCTTCTCCAGCACATCACCCAGCTCTGCCAGCGTCTCGTTCTTCAGCAGCTCATTATCAAAGTAGGTGATGACAATCTGGCAGACGTTGCAGAAGCCACCCGGGCCCATCACCAGCTGCTCCAGAGTAGCGGGTACTATGGGACACAGAGGAGGCCGTTAGCAGCTCCCAGCACCCCGCTCCCCAGGGCGCCCGCCGTGTCCCCCAGGCTCACCTGGGTGGGTGTCCCCACTGCGGGGACAGCAGTGCAGCATGGTGCAGATGGCTGCCGGGTCGGTGGCCTCCAGCAGCATGATGACCACAGCTTTGCCATAGGAGTCAACAAAGTCCTTGCACTGCCCGATGACACCGTGGGGCAGCATGTAACACACTTTCTCAATGTTGTTCACAAGTTGCTCCTGCAGGGAGAAGGCAGGCAGAGGGAAACCTTCCCTCCTTGATGCCCCTTTGCCCCACTTTCCCAGCTCCCCCACCCCTGGACTGCAGTGGTGGGGCTCACCTCAGTCACATTGTTCTCCAGGAGGCTCTCGGCTGCCTTCACAGCAAACTGGCACACCTCGCACAGCGGCGTGGTCCCCTCGTCAGCCTGTCAGGACAAGGTCATGGGACATATGTCCAGCTCCACCAGAGCCACCCCAATCCCACTCATCCATTGGCCTCTTCATCCAAGGCTTCCTCTTCCTTGGATTTTAAGGAGCGTGGTGGAATTGGTGGGGGGGCACTTACCCCCGGTTCACTCAGAGCCTGCAGCACCTTCTCCGTGAGCAGCGTGTGGAGGGGCAGCACCGAGGTGGAAGAGCAGAGTCCCACCTGGCCACACAGCTCCATCGGGTCCTGGGGAGAGAGGTGTCCCAAGATGGGCAGACATCACTCCCCCTCCACTTCCCAACAGAGGGTGGTGATGCCAGCTTGTCAGGGCATGGGTCTCACTTACCTCAGCCAGCTGCGAGTGGAGAGGCCAGAAAACGGCAAGAAAAAATGAAAGTTAAAAAGAATTACAGCAGTTGGAACTCAGATGAAGAGGGGAGGAATATTTAAATGTTTGTAGGAATATAAAGCAGTGGGTTTAATTTAAAAACAGCGCAGTGCCCTGATTTGCTGATGGGATCCCCTTGGCTGTGCCACTCAGCCCCCCACCAGCACCCGACCGTCCCTGGGGAGCCGCTTGCCCACTTACCATGTACCGGAGCAACTGGGTGGTTGTGTCCACATATTCAGCCAGGTAGTGCTTGCACTGTGCATGGGAAGACACTGTGTCAGCACCCAAGGCTGGACACCCCACTGTCCTGCCTGCACCCCCAAAGCGCCCTTGGGTGATGCTCAAAAGCAGGTGGCTGCAAGAGATGCACTTGTGCCACAGTGACATGGAGGTGGAGGGAGCCTAGCATGATGCTGGCACCTTTACCTGCTGTGCCATAGGGGGTGCCAGCTCCTCACATGCCTGCTTGGCACGGGCCACCAGCTCCTGGGTGAAGTCTTTGTTGGTCCCCAGCTCCAGCTGCACAGCTGCCACCAGCTGCAGGCAGTTCCCGCACACCTCTTCCATCTCCTGTGGGACAACGTGGGCAGGGATGCATTGGTACCCCCAAAATAAAAGGGAGTTCCAACCCCCCAAGCTTGCATTTGCAGGGCTGGGATTTAAATGCCAGGCACAATCTGGGGCAGCTTCTTGGCCAGCATCTCTCTGGTCCCCCTGCACTGCATCATGCAACATCCCATCCCCGAATTGGTGACACCCCCAGCCAGATGCTATTTCATCTCTGTGGTAATTTTAATACTTTTTTTTTTTTTTTAATGACTGTGAAATAGGTAATTCAATGGCATTCCCGAGCGTGCCACGGTACCTGGGCCTCACCACGAGGCAGGTCCTGGGGATGGAGCAGGAGGGGCACGTTGGCGATGAAGGGGGAGACCAGGTCAGCAAAGTCTCGAGCAGGGCCCGCAGGGGCTGGTGGTGGCTTCTGAAACTTCAAGGCCCCCGTGGGGCTCTCCCGGGGCTGGCACAGCTTGATGGTCCCACACACCACCTTTGGGTCTGACTGAGGGGGCAGAAGGATGGGGGTTTGGGGCTGCATCTGCCCCATCATTATGCTCCCTACCCCCCTTCCCCTCCCGTTCCTGGGTCATTTCCATCCCCAGCTGATCGCTGCAGAGGTTTTGTCCTGGGCCCCAAGAGCATCCCTTGACCCTCAAGCTCCCAAGACAGCCCAAACCATGGAGAAAAGCCAATTCAGGGGGGTCCCCCCCACACCAGTTACCATCACTTGCTTGCCCAGCTGGACGAGGATGAGGATACCAGTGTCCACCATCTTCTTGCACTTGACAGACCAGTCTTGGAAGGGCAGGTACTGGCATTTCTTATCCAAGAAGAGCCTCAGCTTTTCCTAGGTGACAATGGGAGAGCTCAGGAATAGGCTGACCCACAGTGGATGGGTAGACAACGCAGTCCCACACACACCCCCAGCCATGACCCACCTCAGTGCGATTGTCCTGCAAGATCTTGCCCACCACGGAGACCACCACCTGGCACAGGTGACACGGAATCCCCTTCTGCTGAAAGAAGGGA